AATTACTCGTATCAGTTGAATACGATTTACTGATATCGCTTCATATGACTGAATGGTATTGTTTGTATTGGAAACAATAATATTCATATGAAATACGTACAAACTAGAGGCAGTATTCACTATCATTGGCTCCATAGTAAAGTTTCAATGAAAGCGATAGAGTCATGCGGTTGATAAGAACTAAAGCATAGTTGAGCAGAGTTTTGGGAATGTTTATTACATGATTAACATCCGAATGTGATGCTTGGATCAATTTCATCGCTACCATGTGGAAATGATAACAGTTAGCGAAATGCGGCATTAAGTAGTTAAAGCAATCCATAGTGACGACGTGTTATTGAGTGTTCACTCACATGATTTTATGAATCAACTAAATGCAATGTTAATCACTTATTATGATCACTAGTCTCAAATACAAACAGACTACGCACTAAATCGTTATAGATCTAGCATTGCGTTCAATTCGGTTAGCAAGGACTTGAGAATTTCATTGGGTATCACTTGATGTGGCTTAACATCAAAAGCTATCTATGTATTTGATAAATTGTGTTTTAAAAAGAATTTGAGATTCGTAATAATGTCAACTACTATCAAAATATTTACTGTCATAAAATATTTAGTATGTCAACAGTAAGTGCAATATTCGAAAACATCCGAATGGCTGATCATCTTCCGTAAGGAAGTTGACTTCTCTAGCCGAAACAATTTCTTGGCCTTGTTGTTGAGACACTAATTATCGTGATTGTTGTTTTTACTTACTTGCTCACAATCCAACGGACTAGTTTTCGTGATCGATTCACTTTTCATTCTAGCTTTACAAAAACCAGTGAATTTTCGCCTACATCGTCACACTTTTACTCACGATCAGCTAGAACCTAGAGCAAGTGAAACAATCGGATCGGACGAAGCAATATTCAGCATTTACTAGTGTACAACTGCGAATGCTCATCGTAGTGAGAAGAGAAAAGCGAACAAATCCCTCCACTCACATATACAATTTATCAGCAATGCCATTTTTTTCGGAACTTAACTCTCCGTTCCAAAGTTAATTGCAACTGTTGAAAATAATTCCAAAACAGCTGNAAGAGTTCAAATTTGTTTGAAGACGAAGAAGAAAGTAGTTTGTTGTTGTGTTTTGAAGAACAAGTGTTCTCTTTTCAAAGCACTGAACTTTTCTCGTTGTGATAAACAAAAATGGAAATCAGCGACATAAATCAATCAGAATTATTTCAGTACTCATTTTGATATATGTACCCGTTTCGGTGGTTGGTTACCTGACCTATGGTAACTCAATCCAATCCTCAATTATCAACTCAATTCAAGTGCTGCCAATTCAACAAATAGTCAACGTTTTCATTACAATACACTGTGTACTCACGTTAACGATCGTTTTCAATCCATTGAATCAGGACGCTGAGGAGGTCGTCAATGCACCACATCGTAAGTTCATTCGAACACTCTCACTCACAATCAGTTGGTTGATATCACCTAGCTCGAAACCTACCTACCTGTGTTTCAATGAGCCTGTTATCAAGCCTCAGCCACACGATGATTTTGCTCGCAGCTCATTGGGTATCTCGAATGAAACTCTAACTTCTTCACAGTTTATGCACTCCACAATACTTTTTGCTTCACTCCAGCTCTCCGCATTCCACAAGACTGAACTGTTTACACCATTTTGGAAAAAATAAATCAAGCATGTAGAAACTATAACGAGGTGCTGAATGCCTGAAACTATTCGTCAAGGTGCTGAATGCCCTAAAATAAACTGCTAGAATCAGTAATATCCCAAAAATTATGGTTTCGTCTCATAAGATAACATTCAGTCTCAATCACTGTGCTTACTTTAGTTCCCTCCCTGGACAAGCTCCGCAAAATGTTTTTATGGTGCTGAAAGAAGCAAAGTTTTTCTTATCAGCAAATTCTCGGTGGTATGCAAAGAAAAGCGCACAACTGGCAGTTGCATAAAAGTTTTTATCTGAAAAGTAAATATTGGCATTCTTCTTCGATCATCAGATTTATCACCCATAACNAACACTGAAAATTGTGGGTGAATTAGACTGGCAACAGCAACGAGGGCAACGATTAAGTTTACTCTGTTTCATCATTATTTATGATTCGATTTTTTCAGTGATCAGCACAGCACGATACCAAAAACATGAGCATTTCTTTCGAAAAGAGAATATTTTATAATCGACCCAATAAATCGTCAGCTATTGCTAGCTATGCTTTAGGAATCTGTTTTCGATAGAATCCACATCAACTCATTTACATTTTATTTTTTAGAAGCACCAACCTAGATGATTTTAAAGGGCAGTATCAATCTTTCGCTGAATTTGAAATTAATCCGGAGTGAAAAAATCCGGTCTCTAATCGGATTCCTCAAACACAGTCAAAATGCTCGAATAATTTTGTTCTTCGTCACTAAAATCAATAATCATTCCACGTGAAATGTCCTCCAGTCAGTTCCTTAACTCGTAGCATTCGATGATCAAAATGAAACATATCGATTATCAAATCTCTGACTGCTTGATGATATCTTTCAAAAAAGCGTGATCATGATAAGGAGGTGAAGAAAAACTATCACGCCNGTTCAAAAATTTCAGTCCATTGATTCTGAATTCAGATTCTAAACTCTGATTCACTAGGTAAGATGGATTCGATCTGGAAGAAAGCTGACTGTGAGAATTTTGTGAGATATTCAACAAAAATTTCAGATTTCGGATGGCAACGGGTTCTTGTTCGAACGTTCGTAATGATGGCCGTCGGGTTTATCGCTGAAACAATCCCAAATTTTGGCCCACTACTTGATCTCGTCGGTGGATCGACGATCACCTTGACGGCACTCGTCTTTCCGTGCCTCTTCTATTTGTACCTGTCGGTTGGTGAGGATGCAATGAATTCCGAATGTACAAGCGCTCAATTCGAAGAATACTGTGATAAATCGCCTTCATTTAGCGAGTGCGTTCTGCATTTCTTCATTCACTTCACATACACATGTGTAATAAAACTTATTGAATCTAGTATAAAACAATAAGTCAAAACATCGGTCCAATTGAGCGAATTAGCAAATTGACATGAATGAGTCTATTGATAGGAACTGATAAGATTTCACATTGAGAGAAATGCATAGCAAACGTAAAATTGAGAAATAATTAAAAGTGTAAACAGCAATTGCGTTGTTTATTTCATTGACATTGCCAAAATGGTTGCAAAAGCACTTTAAAGTTCGTTCTGTCAATTTTTTATTTGTGTCAATTCACAATATTTGAAGTGCAGTTTTTCCGACGACGACGACAAATAGTTTATCAGATTACACAAAAAATGAATGAAATTTTTCGAAACATAAATATGGCTGCTCACAAAAGGAAGTCATTTTCTGAGACGAAACCTTTGGGTCATATGATTTCAATCATGAACAAGTTTCACTAAAATTCATTTCAGAGTCATTCAAAGGACACCGAAACGGCGTTTGATCATATGTGCGGCAGTGATCAGTACGTTGTTGTTTCTTGTTGCTAATTGCTATTGCTCATGTTTTTCTCAGTATATTTCAGTTCTACTTTTGATTTTCCTGTAATCGCAACCGGTTTTCAATTGAATCGTTGATGATCACTTTTTATGCGATCTCTTCACACCTCAGTCAGTTCCACGTTGACCTGGAACGTAGAATTGCCATTTTGAATTAGTTATGAGCATCGCTACGATCATTTTCTGCAGTGTCGGAAATCAAGGAAAACATTATATGTGATACTGTTGCATCATGCATCATGCATCATATTTAAGTTCAACGATTTAGAACGTGAGGTTTTGAACAATTTTGCGAATTTCAGCACTAGCAATAGTTGGCGGAGCCGCCACCACATATTCAGCCATTCGGGAATTGGTCACCACACAGTTTTCACTACCGTGTTATTTGCGATCAGTGATGAATGCGTTGGAGTCAGGTGATTCAACTGGAGAGGGCACTAGTATGAATTGCTGTGGACTATGGCAGAACGTTTCTCGAACCGGTGATAATGCTAGATGTAGCAAATTTATCGACTTTTATAATCAGTACGATTGAAGCAACTAAACATCATCACCATCATTCTGAGAGGCCACCGGAAAAGCGCCACTCGAAACGCACAAATGTAGTTTCAGGCTAGAACTTAAGTTATTGCATGCACTTAATGCATCTTGTGCACTCATATATCTACATTCTGCATATCCCGTAAGACTTTTTGCCTTTCCATTTGTACTGTGTACAAGCAACCGTGAATGTTATACATTCGCATTGAATGCTCGTTGATATTCAACGTCGTCAATACATTCATATTTATACATGCGAAAATTTGTGTTGTGTTTTTGTCGATAGACATCGAAATGTAAATTATGTTCAGTCAGTCAGTTTCTTGTGAATGTTTTGTAAATAAAATAGAAAGAAATTCAGGTCAGGGCTTCTTTTGTTATCGAATGCGCTTTCCACGTTGTGTGCATACGTTGTTCATGCATTCTGCACACTTTTTACCAGTTTTTTTTTGGTACTGTGTACAAGCCACCATCCATCATGAATGTGTGTTAGTTACGCTGTTCATCGAATGCGTGACGATATCGTATCAACATCAAAACATTTATATTTATACACACAAAAATTTGTGTTTGTGTTTGTCTATAAATATGGAATATGTGAAAATTATGTTCAGTCAGTGTTTTGTATGTTTTCCTAATGAATGAATGTTTTCCTAATAAAATGCGTTGTTTTTTGGAAAATTTTTCGCAATGTTGAACTTTAAATACAGATGCATACTTCAAATTCCTTCAGCAGCAGCAACAACAGTACCTATCTGCCTGTCATAAACTCATGAGTGGATACTTATTGTTCTCTATGAATCACACAAAAACGATGAGAAGAAATTTCCATTTGAGGTACAGTCATAATCATAGCCACATTCATTACATTTAAGAGGTTCTATGAATTGATCAGTCAGTGATCACAATAATAAATAAAAATAGACATTATTT